AAGGGATTAATGGTCTGACATTTGGCATTCTTACTCAAACCAATAATCGAGGGTAGTTGTAGACATGAGTATCAGATACTTAAGGAGTGCAGTATTTAAAGACTGCAGTTGCCATTCAACCACATGACTACTAGCATCAGTAACTCTCCCGTTTCTCCCTTGGGCGTCATTGTCTATGCGATGCTTTCTTGTCGGCCCGTATCCGATGCGTAACTTGCCGAAATGTCTTCTCTGGTATTAGTCCTTGGAGTGGAAGCTGAACATGAATTATGGGCGCGTTCACTCATAGGCAGAAGAATTTTGGAAATATTGGCGTAAACAGTCCTGCCGATAGTTCAGGACACCGTTTCCCATCCTGGTGGCTATAATTCAAACTGCGGTGTGAGTGTTTTTTATATTCTTATCGTTTTGTTTATATATAGCATTTAGGTTACTAAAAAGTTCAACAATCCATAAAATCTTGCTGTCATTCAGTCTCTATTTGCACATTTTTCAACTCCCAATCTATATAACCCATTCTTTTATACATGTCGGCCATCCTGATAATGTTCGACTTACATCCGTTTAAGTCAGCCATTTCCGTATTAATCGTTTCAGTCTTATGTTATTATTTCGGAGCCGTTTCCTGAGTAAAAAAAACCTTCATTGTTCGAATTCCCCCACCAGATAAATTATCGTCTTACTTTGCAGGAACAATGCACACACAGGTTTTTGCAGATATTTTACTTGACAGAACCTCGCACATAATTTTGGATTCTGCTTTTTAAGCACAATATCACATAAAGACGATTTATAAAGAACAATGTTGGGGTTATTTTTATTTCATCTAGCGAACTCTTCGCCTGATCACCATATTTGACCAGAAATAAAAATCATTCTGATAACTCGTCCGAAATGTTCTGTATAAAGTGCAGGTTTGGGTAGATTTGAATAATTCATTGGTCCGAATTGTCAAAAACTCGGTGGCCTCGGTGGAACTCATAGCCATAGCAGCACCCAGGTCGCCAAATTTTTCACAATTGACCTAAATGAATTATTCAAATTTATCCAAACCTTCACTTAATTAAGTGCGCCTGTTGGGTTGTGGCAGATTGATTTCTTTGGTCAGTGTATTGCACCAGAATTGGTGGATTTAATAGGTTACAGTGGGCTGGGTAGGTGACTTAAACCAAGTGGAATTAAATCACGGCTCCTGGTGGAACCTTGTTATGCAGATGGCTAGAGCGTTGACTTTACTAAATCCTTCCGCGTGTTGTCGTGTTTTCGAAGTCCACCGAAGCCGCCAAGTTTATTGCAGTCTGGTCAACTGAGTTCTGTATCAGTCTACCCATCTCCTCTGCCGCCTTCTTCCTCTGCAGTCCTAACTTGGCTGACTTCGGCTTGCTGTTTGATTATATCCTCGTTACCTTTTCCACCCGCATGGAACTTATTCGTTTTCGGAAGCCAGTAAATTGCTGTGCGCCCGTTGCTGATTTAACATTTTGCTATTTCCAGTCCTGATAATAATAAT